GTGTAGAAGGGAGACAGAGCTCAACCACAGGACGAGGCGGTGAGCCAGTCCGCACCGGACTCAATGGCCCTACACCCGGTGCCGGAGTCAACTGTGTTGACGATGCCTGCACCCTCTGGCGCTCCGAAGCCGGACGCGGCTCTACCTGGGTCTTGCGGGTCTTTTATGTCCCGGAGACAGGGAACGGCGCCGAGGGGCTTGCGGCAGATGCGGTGCCGAGGGAGGATGGTGCCGTGGGGCCTTATCCGCGTCTACTCGCGGTGCAGTACCGGAAGGTGCCGCTGGCACGCCAAAGGGAGATCTGGGCTAAGTGCTGCCTCCATAAGGAGGTGCTTAAGTCTAAAGTCCCGCTCCTTTTTGGTCCTGGGCTTGAAAGCCTTGCAGATCTTACACTTGTCCGTCTGGTGAGACTCCCCTAAACCTTCAGACAAGAGTCGTGAGGGTCTCCCGTAGGCATAGGCTTAGCACAGGTCACGCATGGCTTAAAGCCAGGAGCCTTGGGCATGAGCCTGGCTGTGCGCCGTGGGGGAAAAGGGGGGATAATAGCCCCCTTAACCCCCGCTAACTATTTATAACTAGTCTACAAAACTATTAACAACAAACTACTAATCTAAAAGTATATAACCAACAACTATCTACAAGAATGAACAAGTAAAGCTAGGGAGAGTGGAGAACAGCTATGCCGCGCTCCACAGTTCCAACGACCGTCACGGGCGGTAAGAAGGAACTGAGGGGGCACTGGGTCGGCTGGGGTATATATCCAGCGCCATGAAGGCGCCACTCCAGGGGGCTCCACAGCCGACCCACCGGGTGTTGCTAGGGTAGAAAATTCTCCGACGATCGTGCACGCGGCGCGCGCACACCCTAATTGGAATCGATATGAGCAAGCACTCGAAGAAGAACTAGTGACTGAATTTTCAAAACTTAAAGCAAGAAAAGTCACGTTTTAAGAGCAACCGAGTGTTTTTTATTCAGAGTGTTTTGTAAATACAGGTTAAAGTTCATTGAAGAACTTTCTTATTTCTTTCTATATTGGATGTGGTGATAATGGCAGTTAAAGCAGGATAGTGTAATAGATGATTTTGGATTTGTAATCATAAAAATTATAATTAACATTTTTAATGCATTTTTATTTGAAATCGGACTGAAATATCATCTAGCTGTCGTGTACAAATCTATTCTGAAAATTTCGTGTCTCTATTTTATCTGATCTCAGAAACATTGGTTGGACGGACGGACAAATCGAATAATTAAGCATCTGAGCTTAAAAAACATTAAAAGGAAAAAAAAGGGGGCAAAATGTTTTCCAGTTTACCAAAAACCTCAGCCTAGATCTGCCCTTGGGCGTGGGGGACGCCGATTGCATAGTTCGCTTAGGGCTGCCCCGGACAGAAGGGAGATCCCTTTGGGGCTGTACTCCTCCTCACACTGCTAGACTGGCTAGCTAGGTTTTAGAAAGGTAGCAGCCTAGACACTTCCTCATCCTACAAACAAAGTGTGCTACTTTGCTCTACCCACAGTAACTTCCGATTCACAGAGCAAGAGACTAAGCAACGGAAGTTACTCCAGATCGAGAGGGGAGGGAAAAAAAAAAGTGGGGGTGTTTTTAAATTTGTTATCATTTAAGTACTCAGTATTTCAAGATCACTACTACAGGAAGTTAAGCCCTGTAAGAAAACACGACTTATACAAGGCTAATGAACATGCCCTTTTACAATCTATATATTGTCCTTCTAATTAATTGATGATATATTGGATTGGAATTCTTATGATGTACTCTATGTAAATTCACAGCAGCGGGAGTTCCAAGCAGTCTCTTCAGAACCAATCCCGAGTGCACCCAACTCCCATTGACTTTTAGGCCGTACATTTGCATTTTAACATGTTATTGTGAACATCCTGTCCCCTCAACCACAGTCAAAGATGTCCCCAGATACATCTGGTGTGGCTCCAATGGCTGAGTGTTTGTGTGAGCACAATATTACATGGGCGCCCCTGCACACTGTGGAGCCCAACTCCATTGCAGCTCCCTGTATGTTGTCATAGGGGCTGGGGAGAGGGCAGAGGCTACTGAATTCACCAGTCATTGACACTGGCAGAATTCACAAAAGCTACTGCAGCCTCAGAATTGCAGTACAAGTCACAGCTGCAGAATGTCTGCTGCCATTCCATGGGGTGATGGGGAAGAAGCACTTATCCACACACTTAAGCAGAGAGCCCAGCCTGGCCACTCAGGTGGAGCCCTGGGGCCCAGAATTTAGGATTAAATGAATGTAATTAATCAGGATAAAATTAAAATGTGTAAAACATTTAATCTTCTTTGTTTTAGTGCTTGTCTTATTCAGATGCTTTCAATTTGCACTAATACAGTATCAAGGTACCAATTTAATGACTGGATCCCAGGAGTCATCAGGCTCAGGTGGAATTTCATGAAGTGGCCCTTTATTTCCAAGTCTTCAAAGCTGGTTCGTTAGTTTTTTGTTTTTCCTCCAAAGAGACCCAATTATCCTAGAAAACTGTAAATCCCTGCAGTATCTTGTCATGTATAAAGGAAGGAAGAACATCATTTTTGTAAAGTGTTGCTTTGGGAGATAACATTGTGGGGAAGAATGGAGCTGAACGCAAGTTTAGTTTACTGTACCCCTATTGCCAATGTATTATCCAAAACAAAGGGTTCATGTTAAAGTTACCACCTGCTTCTTAAATCCAAATTCACCACAGTTTAAAATCTTCCATTCATTATTCTTGGTGAAGAACACACACACACACCGCAGACAATTTTGGAGCAGGTGTCTTTAGGTTTATTTGCAGTAAAGTAACTGTGTCTTATATGGTTAGGTGATGTACTTACCCTACAATGAATTAATTTATGAAATAGGAATCAATATTAAAGTTTGGACACTGCATACAATAAATGTGTCTTTGGGCTAACAATCCTCTCAGGAGACAATTTCTGGAGTATAGGGAAAAACAAAAACCTACCTAATTAGATATATGCTGGCATCTTGCCCTCCCAAAGGGAGGCGTTAACAATTTATACTGGAAGCAGACCCAGGACTGTATTCCTCCTGACCAACCACAAGTGGCATGGGTCTAATTAATTCATAGGTCATATCACAAAGCTCTTCTAGTACCACCGTGCAAAACAAGGGGGAATCCAAGCATTTGCATTTGTCCCCTGCCCCTCCTTCTTCCCTCTAAAGTTCTTCGGTCATGGAAGTAGGCTGCCATTTTGGTCTGCATCTAAACAATCTTATCTGTAAAGCAGATTGAAAACTTCTCACAGCAAGAAACACTTGGCTCTATAAACAAGTGGAGACATCTAGGTGGTAGACAACTTGACATATCTGAGATCAGTTCTGCTGATCTGCAAGCTGCTACCTTGCCTGATTCTGTTGCTAATAGATAAAACTAATGGAGGCAGTGACCAAAACGATCCAAATTGATGGCAGCTGTCTTACCTTTGACTACATTCATGCCAAATGTAACTTAAAAAATAAAACCTCTAAACACATCAAGATACAAAAATGTTGGATTATTTTACAGCAGTACTGTAACAGTGTTATAATTGTAAAGGCAAGTGCTGCTCATGAAACTTGAAAATATAAAATCTATTTGTACATAATCCTAGTTCTACAGACCGGTATTGCTACAGCAAGCTATTTCTCATGGCAACAAATCGGAAAGTCATGGCAAAAAGTAATACTCTGACTCTTAACATTTTAATAGTCACGGCACACAATATAGCAAGTTGTTTGTCATGTGAAAGTAAAATATCCTTTATATTACAATAAAATGGTTTTAAACTGTTTAATGATATTTAAGTATAAAAATAACATATTAGACACATACAACAATAAATTATAATACTTCATGAAAGAGTCATGGTGAGTAGCAGGCTGGTTGAGGTAACAAAGGCTTCTAGGGTTTTTTTTGTTTTCCTTAAAGTAAGTGTCTTTGTCATGGAAGTCTTGACTGTAACAAATATACTGCCATTTCTACTAGGGATTGCTCAAACTAGGATCTGGATTTCAGTTACCCAGGAATTTCAGCAGTATTCAGATTTTTTTTTTAAAATTACTATCTGCCCAAGATTTACTGTGACCAGTATAAACTACTAATAGAAAGGATTTAATGAGAGAAGGTTGGACTGGCATGCAATTTAAAATAGCTCACACAAATACACAGCAGCACTATGTCCCCCTCTAGTGGCTAGACATATACGTGTTTATGAGTCTGCTGCTGACTCGGAGTCCATCACTTGGTCCTTTAGCTCAAGAAGTGCAGGCTCAGGCTTTCAGATCCAGAGGTTCTAGGTTCAAGCCCTATAGATGACTCAACAAGGGTCCTTTATGGCTTACCTACAGAGCCAGGTCCATTAGCTCAGAGGCCATCAGAGTCAAAACTCCATATGGGGTCTAGCGACTACAGGGGGACAAAGAGCCACATTGTATTAGCTTGTGTAACAGGTACACATTTCCATTCTTGGAAAATAAGACATTGGATAGACCAATGACCAAAAGGAAATGAGTTAAAGGAACCATGATGGTTAGGCAAATAAAGCCTGACACTGTACTACACAATATTGATATTCCTGCTGGTTAGTCCACATAATAAGAGTAGCAATAACTTCAGAGTGAATTTGCTCCCCTGGTCTTTTGAGTGAGAAAGTAGGTGTTGCAGTCTAGGAATGGGAAGAAATTAAAATGAAGACAGAAGGATCTCCAGGGTACACCCTACCTAGTCTGGGTGTGAGAAAAGGGGTTTTGCAGTAGACCAAGCTTTAGATGAATTATGTGACAACAGCCAGTGTCAGGAACATGGATAGATGTTAATTATAAATAAAAAATGGAGGTGTGAAAGCACATTATAGTTCCTTAACTACAATTATGGAGTACATCAATGTCTTCCTCTCTCCTGTACACAGTAAAAAACAAAACAACAACAATAATAATAATAATAATAAAAAAACCGCAGCAACAAAGATTGTGCATACTTACCACCGTGGTCCATGGCACCTGGGGAATCCTAGTGTAGGTCACTGTCATGTAGATGATTAAAAAGAAGACAGTAAGAACCCAGTAAAATACGGCTACAAACATCACCCAGCCGAAGGCAGGATACAGGAAATACTCTGTTCCAGCGACCAGTGTCCATACCAGCAGCCCTAGCACCTGTAAAGATTGTAGAGGAAAACAAACATCATACAGATTTAGAACAGGAACACACACACCCATCCACTTTTAGAAATGTAGTTTTCAAGCAAACATCCCTAAGGACCTTTGAGTCAACACTGTACAGTGGAAAAGGCATTGCCCTTCTCTTTTATGCAACAATAAAAAGTTCTATTTAAGTGATTTATTGGACTGGATGTTGTGTAGTAGAAATATGGGCACAAACATCCTTTAAAGAAAGCATGAGTTAATGTGATTTTGTAGCTATCGAAGAGATGGTTCATTTCTTTCTGAATTGCTCCTTTCAATAAAATTGGGGGATGGGGAGGGGAGAAGTGAAGGAGGCAGGGGAAACGGAACGTAATTGAAGTCACTCCTGGCAATAATTAAAATAATGGAAAGGAGTAAATTTCTCAAAGTATTTTACGGAACTGAAGAGACTAAAATCTGAGTAGGCTGGTGTGTGATATTAGCCAGAATAGGGAAAAGGAGACAGACAGACATTCCTGCACAGAAATAATGGGAGACAGCATTATGGTGAATGTTAGTAACTGTGTTTGAACACTAGCTTATTAGCTATAGTGCACCGATGTACGTTTTGTTATAGTAGCAATATCAGTGAAGTGACATTTCTTGTATTGAGATTTTTTCCATTTATACATTTTTGCGAGTTGCTCATAAATTATAAAACCTCAATTATAGAGAAGAATATAATTTTAAGTTCTTCACAATGGTAAATAATTGATTTCAGAAGGGCCAGAATCTGGACCTAAATTTCTTATATTTTACAAGAATTTTGATTTCTTCCCTGTTCCACACCACTCAGACTCCAGTGCAAGTCACATAATAGGGAGAAACGGAACAAGATGATGGTTCTCCTGCCTATTGCATGTTTATACAATTGGGAAAAATGCAAAAGAATCAGATAGTTTTGCCACAGTTTCACTTCCATCAGGTTTGTTCCTGCTCCAATGCAATTAAGTGGCCATGCTCCCACTGACTTCAATGGTGCATGATTGAGTCCATAAAATCACTTGTATTAAAAATTTCTCATCATCATGTAGGTCATAAGGTAAAAAAAGCTAAAATCGAACAAAAGGCCACTATAATTTACACTGTCCTATTGACTTTCAAAACACAGAGAGTCTTATTCTATCTACTAGTTCTGAAAACATTAGATGACTTCAGTTTATCCTCCAAATCATCATCCAAGCTAAACTCACTCCTTCAAATCTGCCATCTTGTTTCTTTGTACTGTATTCTAATCTATATGCACTATGTATTCTTACTGTGTTTTATATCAATTTTTTGTACTTACTATTTGAAAAGATAGAAGGAATCATGCTTGATTAATAAGAGGCGGTTACTCACCCTGTGCCGTAACTGACGTTCTTTGAGATGAGTGTCCCTGTGGGTGATCCACTCCAGCTTGTGGGTGCTCCACTCCAGGTGTTGGTGCATCCCTGCACCTTTGTTCGGAGATTTATACAGCAGTACTTGTACCGGTCGCGCACACGCAGAGCCTGCCCCCCCGCTCTGAGTGTACTTAATAGTAAGTGTGCGCGACCGGTCTCGTCAGTTCCTTCTCTCCAACGGGGGCTATCCCAACTCTGAAGTGGAGGGGAGGAGGGTGGGTAGAGGAGCACCCACAGAGACACTCATCGTCTACTTCTTCTTCTTCTTCTAGAGAGAGAGAGAGATTCCTGTGGGTGCTCCACTCCAGGTGTCTTAAAAGCAGTGGACCTCAAGGAAGTAGGGACTTCGGATTTGGTAGGAATGCAGTAGATAATACAGCTCTGCCTAATCGTGCATCAGAGAGAGGGCCTTGAGTAAGGGCATAATGCTTAACAAACGTGTCTTCAGAAGTCCAAGTGGCTGCTTTATAGATATCAGCCAGAGGAACTTTGCGTAGAAAAGCCACAGAGGTAGCCACAGATCTAGTGGAGTGAGTTCTGATGCCGGAAGGAGGCGTAACTTTCTTTATTTGATAGCACAGTCAGATACACTCAGAAATTCAGTTTGAAAGTCTATGAGTAGAAATAGGTGTCCCTCTGGAGTGCTCCGCAATGGAGACAAAGAGTCTAGAAGAGTTTCTAAAGGGCTTGGTTCTATCCAAGTCCTGCATACATCTAACGTATGCATTGTGGATTCAAAAGAGTTTGCATGTGGTTTAAGAAAGAAGGTTGGTAGGTGTATTGGCTCATTGATGACGAACGCACCTTTGGAAGAAATTTGGGGTGTAGTCAGAGGATAACCTTGTCCTTAAAAAATAGTGTGTACGGTGGGTCCGCCATGAGAGCTGCTATTTCTCCTGCACATCTGGCGGAGGTGATTGCCACTAAGAATGCTGTTTTCATGGAGAGGTGTAAGAGGGAGCAAGTGGTTAGGGGCTCGAATGGTTGTTTAGTTAAGCAGGTGAAGGTCCCACGGAGGGGTAGGAGGTTTAGTGTCTGGGTATAGGGATTGGAGCCCTTTGAGAAAACGCTTGGTGATTGGATGAGCAAAAACAGAGATATCGTCGATCTTGTCATGAAAAGTTTAATAGCAGCTAAGTGGACTTTGATGGAGCTGAAAGGAAGGCCAGATTGCTTAAAGGTCTAATAGATAGTCAAGTATGGGTGGAGGAGGTGCAGAAGTAGGAGGACGTTGTTTAGTTGAGCACCAGTGTGTGAATCACTTCCACTTTTGGAGACATGTGATGCGAGTAGATTGTGTTCTGCTATGTAGGAGCCCTCTTTGAACCTGCTCAGAGCATGCTAGTTCGTTTTGGGAGAACCACGTAGGAGCCAAGCTTTGAGGTGAAGCATGGACAGGTTGGGGTGAAGAAATCGGCCGTGTTGCTGCGATAGGTGGTTCGGAGTGAGGGGCAACGAAATCGGTGGGTGAATTGACATTCTGGTGAGGAATGGAAACCATGGTTGTCTGGGCCACGATGGGGCAATCAGAATTACCGTGGCACGATCTGGGTGTATCTTTGTCAGAACTCTGTGGAGAACCGGTATTGGGGGAAAAGCACACATTAAGTATTGAGCCCATGAGATCAGGAACGCATCTCCTAGGGAATGTTTGCCCAGTCCTGCTCTGGAGTAAAATTAGGGACATTTCTTGTTCTTCGCAGTCGCGAAGAGGTCCAGGGTTGGATAGCCCCAAAACACAGAATATATTGCGTATGATCGTGTCGTTTATCTCCCATTCGTGATCCCAGGGAAAACGTCTGCTTAGTTTGTCCGCGATGGTATTCAGGGCCCCGGGAAGATAGGTGGCGGATATCTGGATGTTGTTCACGAGGCACCAATTCCAGAGCTTCATGGCTTATGTGCCAAGCGAGTGAAATCGAGCCCCTCCCTGCCTGATGACATAGAACACGCATGCAATGTTGTCTGTCATTATCCGAACATGTTGGTTCTGAACAAATGGGAGGAAGTGACGGCGGGCATTGCGTATGGCTCACAGTTCTAGGACATTTATGTATAGGGAGGCTTCGGTGGAAGACCATAGCCCCTGGACTGTGTGGTGGGACATGTGCACTCCCCATCCCATAAGGGATGCATCGGTAGTCATTATGAATGATGGGGAGACCTGGAGAAAAAGGACTCCTGAGCAGAGGTTGGCGGGAACTGTCCACCATCGGAGGGAGTCTCACTCTGAAGGGTATGGATAGAGGCTAGTTTAGAGCGTGTACATTCGGTCTGTAAACCGTGGCCAACCAAGCTTGGAAGAACCTCATGTATAGGCGTGTATTTTTGACCACGAAAGTACACGAGAGCCATGTGGCCTAATAGTTGCAGACAGTCTTGTGCAGTGACCTGTGGACTGTTGCGAAGTTTTGTAACCAGGAGTTTTATGGTGTTGAAACGATCGAGGGGGGGAGAGGCTCTTCCCATTTGGGAATTGAGTTGTGCTTCTATGAACTCCAGTTGTTAGGTAGCAGATAAGGTGGATTTGTTTTTGTTTATTTGCAGTCCAAGGGAGAGGAAGCAAGCGACAGTAAGCTGCGTGGATCAAAGAGCTTCATCAAACGTTGAGGCGACAATTGTTGAGGTAAGGAAATATTATAACCCTGTTTCCTGAGGTGGGCAGTAACCACAGCTAGGAGTTTGGAGAAAACTCGGGTGGCGGTAGATGGGCCGAAGGGCAACGCTCTGTATTGAAAATGTGTCGAACTGAGGGTAAAACGAAGAAAACGTTTGTGGACTGGATGAATAGTTACTTTCATGTAAGTGTCCTGTAGGTTGAGGACTGAAAACCAATCACCCTGCTCCAGCGCTGGGATTATGGTGGGGAGGATAACCATTTTGAACTTTTGATTTTTGATAAATTTGTTTAGCTGCCTGAAGTCGAGGATCGGTCGCCATCCCCTAGTTTTCTTTTCTGTTAAGAAGTAATGGGAATAGAAACCTTTCCCTGTGTGTTGTTTGGGCACGACTTCCACTGCCCCCAGTTGAAGGAGATGTTGCACTTCTTGGAGGAGCAGTTGCTCGTGAGAGGGGTCCCTGAAGAGGAATGGGGAAGGTGGGTGGGTGAGAGGCGGGGAGAGGAAAGGGATAGAATAGCCAACTGTGATGAGCTCTAAAGCCCACTTGGTCAGTGGTAATTAGAGATATCCTCTCTCCTAAAACTGAAAGGGACCTTGAAAGGTCATCGAGTCCAGTCCCCTGCCTTCACTAGCAGGACCAAGTACTGATTTTTGCCCCAGTTCCTTAAGTGGCCCCCTCAAGGATTGAACTCACAACCCTGGGTTTAGCAGGCCAATGCTCAAACCACTGAGCTATCCCTCCCCATTTTGCCATTGATGGGAGAATGGGTGTAGGTGGTGACCAAAGATAGGGGCAGGTGGTGTAAGAGCTGAAGTGGGAATATTGTTTTCTATACCCTCGACCAAGGCTTCAAATTTGCTTATTTATTGGTCAGAGGGGGTTGAGACGCTGCCAAGGAGTTGGGACGGCGGCATTGGTATCTGGGTCTCTGGCGTTGCTGTTGCTCGTGAGATCTATGCAATT